AAAAGGCTCCATTTCTTTCTCTGTTCATACATGGTGGCTACCACCTGTACTTCTTTATACATATAAATACAATCAACATACACAAAAAAAACTGACAAAAAAAAATTGGAACTGAGCATTAATGTGAACATAGCCTTAAACCATTATAGAAACCTACCGAAACATGTTAAGCCAAGTAGCGCTTGTCACATGTTCTGTTTGTTTCCAGTGCCCTCCACCCACCTTGGGGGCTAAATTTCAGCACCCCTCAAAAGTCAGTACTAAAATCAAATACAAGGAACGCAAAAAGGGAGGGGTGCGTTCGTGCAGTCACCTGTGATTAGTTAAATGCCAGCTCTTCACACATTAAGCATTAGCATAGTAAGCACAGTGCGTAAAGAAGCAGTTATACTGGTTTAGAAGTAAAACAGGGACTTCAGTGAGTGAACTGCAGCCAATGCGTGAAAACATCACTGTGTTTTGCTTGTTCAACAGCTGTTTGATAAATTGCTCATACAGCCTCCTTTACTGGTTGATTGTTGTGCTGCGGAGTGATCCTTCATGCCGTCTGCTCAGCTCAGTGTGTGTGTGTGTGTGTGTGTGTGTGTGAGAGAGAGAGAGCAGGCTGCACAGCCCCTCCCTCCCTCATAGCGCCAAACTCTCCATGGTGAGAAGTTCAACCACTGAAGGTCAGCAAACAAGGTCTGTTTAGTTACCTTTAAATGCATCACTTCCTTTAAGCCAAATATTTTGCTGCGAGACCACAAGAGATCAGTGAACGGCTAAGTTTCTTACTGAAAGAAGTCTCTATGGTCCACCACTGAATAGACGATCTTACCTTATGATGTTGGTACAGTCATATGCTCCACCAATTCCAACTTCTATTACAGCTAAATCCACCTAAACACTTGGCCTTCAACTTCATGCATTTCAGAGGGCACAAAGGCCACTTGACTGTGTACTAAGGACGACAGACAAATGACATGTATATGTATGTGTATGCAGCTTATGCACAAAGCTTGAGCAGTAAAGTTACTACACAATAATAAATAAACGCAGAATCAGTTCATTAAATAAATAAAACAACTGTGCCTTTAGAAGTGGTCTGAGCAGTGAAAAGTATTGTTGTTTGACTGATCCCAGCACAGAATAAATACAGAATGTGGGTTTTAGTAAGATGCAAATATTTGTCAATGGGTAAAAAAAAAAAAAAAAGAAAAGACAAAGTCAGTTATGACTTAAAGAGACAGGAACTAAAAACAGACCAAGAGTGAAAAGATATGCTGTGGAAATGCACAGTACGAGGTAAATAATGTCTTTTCTTATCCTTAAAGCTTGACAACACTTTACAGTAGACCCCTGAAATAACTTACAAGCCTTTTTTGTGCCTTCCCACTACATATCACTGCTCTTCATTCAAATGAGATGTTCAATTTGGGTAGTTTGGCTTTAATCAACTCAAAAACTGCACATTTCTCATCTCCACAATGACTCTGTAACCCATCTATTGATGAAACTGTGAGATGCAGCTGAAAGACCCAAACAGCTAGTAAGTGGCCTTCACGTCTTTTTAGGTCAGGTCACTTCCAATATTTAGTCCAGTCACAGAACACATTTCTGATGCATGAACAGCCAACACACCTTGAAGATGCCTCCTTTTTGCCAGGCGATCTTTTCAATGGTGTCTCCAAGGATCTGAGTGTGGTCTATGCCCAGAGAGGAGATGCCACACACCCACGGCCTCCTGTCGAGACAAAACCAGGTGTTTGACTGATCCCAGCAAAGAATAAATACAGAATGTGGGTTGTAGTAAGATGCAAATATTTTGCAATGGGGAAAAAAAAAAAAAAAAGAAAAGACAAAGTCAGTTATGACTTAAAGAGACAGGAACTAAAAACGGACCAAGAGTGAAAAGATATGCTGTGGAAATGCACAGTACGAGGTAAATAATGTCTTTTCTTATCCTTAAAGCTTGACAACATTTTACAGTAGACCCCTGAAATAAACAATAAACCTGAAAATGAGCATAATATGTGTTCTTTAAAGTTTATTACTGATCTTGAAAATAGTTGGATGAAACTTTTAACTTCCACTTACAAGCCTTTTTTTGTGCCTTCCCACCACATATCACTGCTCTTCATTCGAATGAGATGTTCAATTTGGGCAGGTTGGCTTTAATCAACTCAAAAACTGCACATTTCTCATCTCCACAATGACTCTGTAACCTACCTATTGATGAAACTGTGAGATGCAGCTGAAAGACCCAAACAGCTAGTAAGTGGCCTTCACGTCTTTTTAGGTCAGGTCACTTCCAATATTTAGTCCAGTCACAGAACACATTTCTGATGCATGAACAGCCAACACACCTTGAAGATGCCTCCTTTTTGCCAGGCGATCTTTTCAATGGTGTCTCCAAGGATCTGAGTGTGGTCTATGCCCAGAGAGGAGATGCCACACACCCACGGCCTCCTGTCGAGACAAAACCAGGCAAAAATAAAACACTGGTAATGTATTATTACAATATTTAACTCGTAATTAAACATAAATTAATGGTAGCAGTGTATCAGCAACTGGTGAGAAATGATCTTGCTTAGCAACAGTACACTTTAATGTGGCTTTCAGCAG